TTTACAGACCTTAGGGCCCAATGTAGCATTATTTGTGTACTTGGATCCCTGCGTTTAGGGTTCGAGACATTTGGTGAAGGAAAAGATTCCTGCATCATGCAGGGTCCTGAGGAGAGCTATAGTGTAACCTCCTAGTATCCCCTTGATAAGCACTATACTCGGCACCCTATTAGTCCCCGATGTAACCGAAACCCTAAACCCATTATTTCCTAGGAACTCCTTGGACCCCGACTACCTGGTACCCCACTACCATTAAGGCCATATTACTTCTGTATTTGGGTCTAAATGGGTAGTGGGGTACCAGGTAGTGGGGGTCCTGCGGGTCCCTAGGATTATAAAACCCCTTTCAGGAGTTTAGACTATAGCTCATGTACAAGTCATCTGGTAGACCAATGTGGCACGAGGCTAGGATTTGAGGATTACCGTTGCTCCTACTGTATGCCCCTAGGAACTGTTTTTGAGAAGATATATTGTAGTATAGCATGAGGCCAAGGAACTATCAAATGTTATATTTCCATTATAGGTTTGAGGGGGAGGGGGGTTCAGGTTGAAGGTTTGGGGCGTTCTGTGTTTAGGGCGAGGAGCTGTCGAGCTCTTGAAAGTTCAGAAGTTCAGACGATAGGCTATGTGTGCCCTTCCCTTCCCCAAACTTTTCTGAAACCCATGTAGGCTCCTTTGGGTAGTCTCTGCAGGATGACATTTCAGGTTGCTAGAAGTTCGAAATTCCACTTGGGAGCTAGCCACCGGCGGCCGCCCAAAAGCCCCAAACCCTAGACCCCTAAACCCTAGGCACCTATACGCTAAACCCTAAACCCTAAACATGCTGCACAACTTCATGGCTAGCTCAAGGTTTGGGCTATGGGTGGCTTAGGGGATAATGGAAAAGAAAATGGAAACTACTATAGTATGTAGGGGTTATTTTGGGATAATGGAAAAGAAAATGGAAACTACTAGAATGGGGTTATACAGGGTTTAGGGCATAGGGCTTAGGGCTTAGGGTTATCATTATGATTATTACTGTTGTGAGTGGCTGTGACTCGTTGATGGCTACCTGCCTGGCCATGTCCACCCGACTCGACATATCATCTTACTAACCGCGCGTTTAGCGTGGTTAAATGGAAACTACTACAGTATGTAGGGGATATATTGGTATAATGGAAAAGAAAATGGAAACTACTATAATGGGGTTATATAGGGTTTAGGGTTCGGAGTTTAGGGCCCAGGGTTTGGGATTGAGGGTCCAAGTATCCAATAAGCATAGGCGTTTTTGTCAACATTAGCATCACCAAGGTAACATTTAGGGATCAGGGTTGCCAAGGGACCATACCGAGCTTTGATCCTCGCGCATGTGGAAAAAGTAAGCATGATTTGAGCACGGGTTCCTTCAAGAAAGGTTTGTTAAAGGATGTTTAATACCCCACGCCGGTCGAGAGGGCAACAAAACAAACATTGTGTCAACCTAAAGGGTTTTGCGTACAAGCCTTCGTGTTCTCCGTCAAGCTGAACTGATCCCTCCACTAATTGATTGGCTGAACCACGGCATTCCAGTTTCGGACGTTCTTTTTGATTTTGTAGTGTCCCGTCTGTTCGCGGGGGCCACAGCAATCATCATCTGACATCGGTTTGCCAGCCGGAGGATTGAACTCTGAAGCTTCACGTCTCACAACGTGTGAGTACCAGTTTAGATAGGGAGATTACAATCTAGAGCAAGATGTACTTGTTGCGTTGGGAAAGAAAATCTTCCTACTTGGTTCAACCACTTTCTGAAGAGCTCTGAATTCTTCATTCTGGGACAGACCGTGACATAAAAGAGGCCTATGGCAAGTAGGGCTCCACAAGGTGCCCCAGCATTGGATGTCAGGACGCCGTGTGCGAGGAACAGATGATAAAATGCATGTCGAACGCACATCTTCAGTACATTGCACATCATTTCAATTGACATTGCGCGTGTTCTCTTTGGTTTTTGTCCCTTGATCGCGCCTCAAGAAATGATCTGAGCGCTTCCGTAGCCTGATTCCTGAGCCACACAACCTAGTAGCCCCAAGACACCTTCCATGACGCCGTCATGGCAAGCCTAGTTTCCTGTCAAGGTTGCATGGATTGAGTTGACGCTTGAAAGACTTCACGCCGAAGTGGCCATGCCTCCAAAGCGCAACCGTGGACCGGACACCATGCGCACAAATGTTGGCAACGGCTTTGTTTGCTTTTTAGCTTGTTCGCTCCGGCATGTCAGTGATCGCTCGGCTCTGTTGCTTGTACTGAGAACATGTGTCAGTGTGTGTCGGGGCCGGTAGAGAGCAATTTTGCCTCAAAGGCCCAAGGAATTGACTACTTCGGATTTAGTGTCAATAATTGTGGTGAAAGTTTTTGGGAGGCTTGTGATTTTTGAGGCCTCGGAACCCACGGGTAAACGCATTATTCGACCTGCTTCCGCTCCAGCGCGATTCAAGGTCTGGGATGTATGGCCTAAGCTTGCGGCTGAGGGTTCAGAGCTTGTCGTGTGGTTTTCAGCTCGGCGCGCTGCAGTCGGGAAGATGTAGGCCGCGAGCCATTCAGCTTGCAGACTGAGGATGAGGGTTAGCGTGTATGTCCAGCTTGAAACCTTCCAAACCTTCAACCTCAAACCTTTAACTCTAAATCCCCACACCGTAAACGTAAACCTGCCCTCCATCTCAAAGGTTTTTTTTTTGCAAGGCAGCTTCTAGTCTATCAGAGGACAAACATGCTTTCCTTCCCCATCCAACCAGCACCGCTGCAAAGGAACAACGCGCAATCGTTTAAGCCTCAATAATGCTGACCAGGCCCTGGGATTATGGCCTAGACCCAAATAACATCCCAAATGGCCTGTTGGATTTGTGGGTTTCATATAATGGCCCCACAGTGACGTTTCTTAGATATTTATGTATGTATATACGTACATATGAACCCAAAAGTTTTTGATATTCACAGAGACCTGAAGTAAGTGACGTCCCCAAAACCTACAGCTCCAAACCGGGGAAGCCTAAAATCTATTGAGCTGAACCTCCAAACCTTTTCAACAGCAAAATTGCAGGCCGCAGACTATGCCTCCAAGATCTGCCGCATCAGTTGAACTTCAGGATTGTTTAGGGGCTACAGTTTTCAGGGCGTGAGGGTGTTGGATTTGTAGGGCGAGAGGATGAAAAGTTTCACGGACTAGCATTGCTATGGAAATGGCGTCATTTTTTTGGGCGTAGGGTTTCGGAAAGGAGATTTAGGATTTAGTAAAAGGTTTTGGGATCTGGGCTCAAGATTGGAAGTCTAGAATGCCCGTGCACACCAGTTCGGGCTTACGTAAAACTACAGTTGAAAGCGGCCAACATGAACAGGCGATTTATCATGAACTAGCGAAGGCTTTGAGGTGCAGAGGGAGTTGTCATACGGAACACTATGAGCTTTAGTCTAAACTTTCAGTATCCCAATAAATAAGCCGTATATTACTTCCCTACATACCTGTTTCATAAAACTTCTTTAAGGAGCTTAATTTCTAGTACATATGAAGTGGGGATTTGCTGTTCTCTCGCTTGTTGTTTCGTCTTCATTTGGCCGTTTCAGCCAGGTTTAAACAGACAGAATAATACAAAGAATAAAGATATTCAGGAAAATATATTAAGGAACATACTCGTATAATACAATAGCAATAATAATAATAGTGTGGGGTGCTGAGTAGCGTAGCTCCCCCCCCTTCCCAAACAAAACAGGGTCCCTAATTAGTGTGGGGGGGGGCCAACGAATCTGGGTCCTAGGTTTAAGTTAAATTCAATAGGAGGGATCAGGATCGTCTCGGTACAGAAGGGTTTTAGAAGGCATGTAGAGGGGTTTGAATTGAATTATTCTCAGAACTATTCTGTTTGTCCGCGCAACTTTGCACAATCTAGGGCCCCCAAAGGAATCATGGGGTGCTGAATAGTTCAAACTTCGCACACTCAAGGCCCTCCACTGGAAAACTGAGGTCATCTGCACACTGGACAGCGCCCAGTCGTCATCTACGACAACTACGAGGCATCAGCCAGCATTTGGACTGCTAGCTGTGCTTCTTTGGCCCTAGCGTCTGGCAAAGCGTTCTGGGCATTTGGCCCCGTTCGCAAGGGTTTCTACAATCAACAGTCATTTGGGTGGTTGTCAAAATTATGGTCCCTTTTTGAGTACCCTAAATATTAGGTGCCGTATTGTAATAGGGACCCAAAAAGGGACCATAATTTTGACAATCACCGATTTCTTTCAGGGTTCCCACCACGACGCTTCATGGTCATTGATGTCGCTCTGGGCTGGCAGCTAGAGGAATCCGGGTCTTGGCTTCTCGTGCCTGTCCCTCATTCGTGGCCCAATCTTTCAGCCCATCAAATCCTACCTTCACATCCCAAATACCCATAATAGCCCCATAACAACAGCCTATCTACCCATTATTTGGGGTTAAGGCCACCATTAGAGGTTCAGGCAAACCCTAAACGCACAACCATGTCGTAGCTATGGCTTCTTTTTTTGTAATTCTGACGTTACCCTCCCGGTGCGAGTACTCACGATTCATATACATGCCCTCATAACCTAGACCCCAAGACCCCGAATAGCCCAATATAGGTACGATTTATGAACTTTCGCGCCCAACGAATGTATTCTTTGTATACCTAGAGCCCCAAGAATACTACAATTACCATGTTCCAGTACTCAAGCACTGAGTACTTGGACCCTTACCCTTAAACCCTATAATCTCTGATTCGAATGTACCTCTTCGTATATGTCTGATTCCTATGTGGCCCAGTGTGCAAAGATACAGTTTTTCAGCTTGTTCCATCACAAAACAGACCTTTCAGGACAAGACTATGTAAACTGAAACCATACACATGTGGATCTTGCGGGGGGTGACCACATATATGTGTATATATATATATATCCAGCAGGCCAATTGGCCCTCTCCGCGCACTTGTCCGCTCTGCCGGGCAGGGCCTGGCACCCCACGACACGTTGTGATGGCCTGTGCCGCCATGACCCCTGCTGTCGATCTACTCCGTGATGACATGGAGGCTGAGCTAGCGGGTCTGGATTCTACCCCCACCCTGTTGGCTGCCGCCCAGGTCTGGAGGCATCGGTTACTGGCCCGGCGGCCGGCCTTAGTCTTGCGCCCCTGCACAGAAGCAGACTCTCAGCGTTGGCCCATCCTGTCGGCCTGGCGCTGGCTCATCGCCCTGCCAGGCAGAGAGCACACACTATCCGTGGATGTGGCCGGCAGCAGTGCCGTGCCTACCAGCCGTGAGTGCGGTTCAGACGTCGCGTACCGCGGTGTACTCCGGCCAATGCGCCACGCATCGCCTGCTGCTGGTCATGTGGAGGTGCCTCCCTCCCCACTCATGCTGCTGGGCCCCTCCCGTGTCGCTGGTGCCACTCGCATGGCCACATCGCCTGCCTCTCCTGCAACCACACCCTCCACTACCGCGGACAGTGCCACTGGAACTGCGGAGCGCACATGGCCTATGCGTCAGACGCAGACACCCTCTGCTCCGATTGCTGGTTGCACTGGGCTCGCAGCATTGCGGCTTGCCCTCGGCGCCGAACAGTTCCTGTGGATCAAGGCCTGCTCACGCACCTTCTGCGGACAGCCGAGCAGTGCCAGGTCGGCGCAGGACAGCATGCTTCGGTGGCACCGTCGCTGCGCCTGAAGCA